TGGATATTTTGTTTCCAACGATTTCATGCTACATGTGTTCAGTACTACATGTACAAATAATGTCATATACTTGGCAGGGTATATTTCTTGCTCAAAGAAGTAATTATTCTCCTCGATCGGACTGGAATCCTTCCTCGATCACGAAGCATCTATCCAGCCATTGTAGCATTATAATTTATATGAAGATACCCCAGGATGCGTTATCCATCTTGTATGATCATTGATGTGACAGGTGAAGCAAACAGAAAACATAGTATTTCTATAATATAGTATTTTATTAAATTTGTTAACATAAACAAAGCTTTTCATGTAAATAAACCAGAAATAAATAACAAATATATCATCTGGATAAACTTATATAATATGAGTAATAGCAAGACAATGAGTATATATTATCGGTCCATTTCTGGATGTTTCCGTGAATTCTCGTTAGCTCAATATCTTGTGTAAGAAAATATACGGTAGAAAATCCTGATTGATATTTTTTTTAATGTGATTTTGTATTCGAACTTGATCTATGATGTTAATGAAATGGCCGGATAAAACAATGGTGGTAATATATACATCTGCAGCAATAAGTAAAGCTCCGTTTGGAATACGGGAAGCGATTTCGCGGAAACTTTGTGACAAATGAGTAAAAATATAGCTCGGAAACGTGCGTATATTTAGAGCTCTAAACTTATGTCAATATTTATGGCTAACTCAATGTACCTTTCATCTTAAAACACAGCTTATATTTTTCAATTAGTGAATGATCTAGTTAAATACAATTATTATATGCATATTTTTTTTGCATTTCTGTGAGTTAACATTTTTTGAGAATGCAAATATAACAATACAATCTACAGTAAAGTGCACACCCAATACAGTCCCATAAAATTTTCAATAGAATTCAATAGCATGCTTGATATATTAGATAATGCATGTTAATACATTTACACTATATCTTTTGAAATACAAAGTGTTTATATAAATTTTATTGTTTCAAGTTTTCCGCATAACACAAAATAACATATATGCAGAAAAAAATACGAATGGTAAATTCAATAAAATCTATATTATTCCTTCTGTTATCATGCATGCCTATTTTTATCAAAGCTATGCACTTTGAACCACATTCTACACATCTCTGAACGCACATATCTACATGTCAATAGCAACATATTATTAAAATTTGAAAATCGAATAAAAGGGAGGCTACCGGCTGTTGCAAATATATGTCTAAGGCGAAGTAAAATCAGTGGCGTAAGGTAAAGCAAAACTGTGTAATCAGTCGCATAAGTAAATGACAATATTTTTTAACAACAATGGCGTCGAAATGTCAACAACAACGAGGAAAGGTATTGGATTGATTGAACACAGCTAAACATGGCTAATGAATAATTGATTATTATCGTGAGAGCAGTTTCTGAAAGCGTAGGAAAACATGTCCCACGACGACATCCGTTGATTTCAATAAGGCAAATTAAGGTGTTTTATTTGATTCTTCAATTTATAAAGTTCACATGCAATAGTAATTATGTGAAAGCGAAGAGTAAAATGCATTAAATTCAAAAACTAAGCGGAACGCACGTTGAAAGGTGTTCCCTATACGAATATGTAAATAATTAACTTTTTATCTGACCTTAACTGTTTATATCAGTTTTATCCTGTTGATTTGAAGAATCATGTACGTAATATTTATATGTCATGATTGTAGATGCCCGTAAAATGTTTGTATAAATCGTGTACACTGTATTTTCTTAAAATCTAAATATATTTTGGCATCATTAAAGAGAGTGACCATTAGTTTTGAACACTTATTTTTGGCAGAGCTTGTAAGTCTTAAGGATTGTAAAGAGTCTTAAGGGCGGCCATGTTTTTCTTAACTTAAGACTTCCTTCTGACGACTTTGTGCTAATTGCTACTGTACTTTTCTGGAGCTACTTGAGCTTACTGGACTTATTCGACGGTGCATTATCACCCAGTAGGTTGTCAAGAGCATTCAGTGCTGACGAGTTTATGAGTTTTTGACGCCTCCTGCAGCATTTGTAGTGCTGATGACCGTTACCAACACCTGTACCGGAAGTGCCGCTCCACTGATGAACCCTATTACTAGATCTCTGACTTGACCCTTCTTCTACGTAATCTATTATTGTGCCAGTCGTCCTGCTACGGTTTGTTCAGTTCTGTTTCCGCTTAGAAGACGCGGGCCTCGGTCTGTGTATTCATCGTAATAATTGTATGGGTGGTTCTCTTTTGAAAAGCGCTTTCCCCTTCTGGTGCTGTCAAAAGCTGAGTCTGAAAGAGAAAAAGAAACAATGCTTAAAAGACCAAAATAACACCTGCGCGCATAAAGTGTTATATCATAACTAAATTAAATATTCACACATATGGTAGGTTGGGCGTATTTATGAAATATAACTGCAGGTTGATGTCATCGGTCCGATATTTTACTATAGTGACCTGCCTATACAGAAACTTAAACAAATAGTTAAGAAGATCAGTAATTTCGTTGGATAATCCTTTTATTCATCATGATAAGTATTAAAGATGTCTTAATTAACACAAAAACTATAGTTCATTAATTTGACACTCTCTAAAAACAGGTCGGTGTTTTTACGTAGGCGCACGCACGTGGATGCGCTCTACAGGCTTTTCTAAATCAGCCACACCTGATTTACATCCGTGTAACTTACCTACAAAAATAAGATACTTACATTTATTCCAGTAGTTTCTCCAGACCTTAAAGAAAAATAGAAATGTGTTATCAAATATATCTGTATTATTTCTGGCATGTACTAAAAAGTTTTATCTAAACATTGATGAAAGTTCAAATTAAAGATGTAAAGAAATATAAGAATTAGGATCCAGATATTGAGTAAGTTTAAGAAATTGTAGAAGGTCTGTACGCGAAGTTCTATTTACATGTAAAATCATTATACAGTTTGATAATAGGTATCTGATCTTAAAAATTTTTAATATCAAACATTATGTGACGAAGAAATTTAAAATGCATCGTAAGGCCAGCTGAAAGGCGTTTACTGGCATGGGCAAACATTGTGACAACATTATGATATCGCTATCTAACTATATAAAATATCATAACCTGAAAATGCTGAACCTCAACAGTAGTTTATGAAGTGAATAAGATAAAAACACGTTAAAGCCAAATAAAGGTTAACACAAAAAATATCAACACGCAAACTAAGTGAAGCGGGTATCTTATATAGAAAATGCAATGGTAAAATTATTTTTAAAATCCTTTTACTCAGATAAATATACTCTTTTTTTTAAGAAAATACCACCATGCATACTGTCTGACATATTATTTTGTTAAGTCAGTCAAATTATTATGTAATTGTCTATGTTTAACACCGTGACGTGATTTTAAGTAAGTATTTTCACTTTACCATGTGTCACATGTGGCACAAGAGCAAATAAAAACGTGTATTGCTGTGCAACATGTAAAAACGGCAATCAAACATTTTATATCTTATTCTAATTATATATAAATGGCTGTGGACGAAGGAATAAAGTTACCTGAATATAAAATGTATTCGTCACGCTAATTATCATAACAAAAATTGTCTGTTTTCCGATTATGAATTTCAGAAAGAAATGTTAAATATCAACAGAAGAAAGGCGAAAACAAAATGAAGATACGAAATGCGCATGCGTTACAATAACCGCAACCTCAATTATAATTATTTTGAGAAACAAATATACCAATAATACGTAGATACCCAAAACGTCTTGCAACTTTTTTATTTTCTTATTAAGGTTGTTTTTGTTTAAGTTAACATAAACCTGTCAAAACTACCCCAAATGCATGAGATGAACTCAGTAAAAACCCGTCAGAAACACCTCGTGTCTCTTACCAAACTGCAGATTAGAGTATCAAACTTCCATGTTCAAACACAGACATTGGCCTCATGGAGATAAACATTTAAGCTGAACTTGTTAGTTTACAGTATTAAGAAAAAAAATTAAATAAAATTATTAATTCAATCGTTTTGAAGAGTTATGGACTATTTGAATTATTCAACCTATGTTTATCTATAAATATATATAGAGTTGGTTAGATATAAAGAAAAGTATCCTAGATTAGATGTAAAAAGTAAAAAGCATGACTTCTGACTATAAATGTGCGACCGACTTTCAAAAAAGATTACAATTTCAATACCCCATGGATTTATTTCCTTACCATTCTTGCTGCCTGAAGTCCGCCACCTGAAAACCATAGGACAATGGAAGAGTCAGAAGCTAAGCCGAAGAGTTCTACTGTTAAAAAAAACGTCAATTTTTATCTACTTAAGTACAAATCTCATGAAAGGAACCACCTAATCCTTAAAGACCATGTTTCTTTTGGCAGGTGTAGCACTTGTTAGCAGGGGACACCAGTATAACTAAGATATGCCCCTATAAATTTGTATATATGGTCTTACAAGCGAGTTAGAATATATCATGGCGAGTCCTATTTTGCCTTTCAGAAGAATCATATTGTGGTTCTTGCAGACAGTGCTCCTTATAACAGGTTGGTTTTTTTACGACACTTGAGATAGAATTATAATCTTCAGAGAAAGGTGGTTGCTGATTACAGATGGTCTTTAACAGAAAGTTCGACACATCACAATTGATTTTTTATGAAGGTAATTCACTGAACAGTGGAAATAGACAAGCTAAAGCGTAATGCAATTATTATATCAATATTAAATGTAACATATTAAATTTTTGAATAAAGGGCTATAAAATGATGTCTGGCAGAACGACTTTTTTTATTATGGGAAAAAAAGTTGAAGGTACAAAAAATAGACGGAGTTAAAGGAAGACGATCTACGAGAAGTAGTTATAAACACACTATATATAACTTATAAGGAATACTACTTAATCTAATCAATTTCTAACTGTCAAACGTGGAATTTATGAGTTGGCTAATTGTATTTAATTTAAGAAAATGTTCACGAGTGCTCACCATCACTATTTGATATTCTGTATACATAAGAAGATTTGTGGTCGCACTACTCTAGCTTGGGTAGTTTGACAGAGTAGTTTGGATAGCTCCTCATAGGTTCGATATGTGTGGTTTGCAACGGGTTCCCTCGTACGACCTGTATGTTGTATGCACGGGTTCCTCGTAGCTGCGGTAGTTTTGATATGTATTTTTGATACTGACTCGTGTTTGTTGTTTGCAACCTGAAATCTTCATCTGTAAAAGAAACCAAATGATTTGTACTAAATTACAGTTATTATAAAAATTAAAACGTTAAAAATAGCTTTAGCACGTCAACTTTGCAATTTTTCTATGAAATACCTGGTATCTCTTAATACGAAAAGAGAAATACGGGGTCAAGTGGTGGTGTTTGGTGTTTTCACTCCGGATCACGGCAGAAAGCCACATTGAATATATACCAGAGGACAGTTCAGGTCACCTCATCGTTCCTGGGCAGGCTGTCAAGCAGTTTACCAGTACTAGATTGCCTTCACTTTTCAAGGAAAGATTACTTCTGTACAATGCCAGAGCAGAGGTACAGTGTGAATGGCCATAGAATTGATTTCATGATCCAATCACAAGTTTCAAGTACACTTAAAACAGTAATTTTAAATAAATACAGAACAATAAGTACCTCTCTAATAATTGCTATAAACTATTTAATTTATTAACTAGACCACAGTATCTTCTTTTTCATATAAATAAAAAATGTTAATTGCTTTTGCAGCGTTTTAAGAACATTTAAATGTTCATTTCTAAGAATGACCACAACTTTCTCGTACTGCATGTATTATGTCAACAAGTTTTTTAATCATTTTTGATCTACACTCTCTTAGATACACGGGGAAGAAAACAACAATATGTTGATACACAAACATAATATATGTACATTGTTGTTTATTAAATTGTAAATAAAACATAGTTTAATAAAGTTAAAATCGCATTTGATTTTGTACGCGCAATACCGTGAAATCATTGTAAATTCAAAATATTATAACTTTGCTTTTACTGTGATCATAAAAGCATTAAAGTAGAAACATTAATTATTTTTGCTTGCTTATGAATAAATGGATACACTAATCTCTTTCTTATTTTTACACATATTACGCCTTCAAACAAGTTTTGAAATTCTAGTTTAAACTAGATGTTTCGAGGTTATTGCGCATTAAAATAATCGTCGGTTTATTCATGTCTCTTTATATACACCTACCATTCTAGATTTTCATATGCTAAATTTGTATTTTAGACTTATCCAGCTGAATTCGTAAATGCTCATAGTTAATATGAAGAGATTTTATACTATAATCATAATAAAACCCAGCATCCATTGTGCATGTTTTGTCCGGATGTGCCGGCAGACCAGACTCTAGAAACATAAGTAACTAACTTTTAAGACTGACCCTCAAAAGGTTTCAATGGAGCGTTATCTGTATTACAAGGTTTTCACGTGATTTTCTGCTGATTTGAAATTTTAGATATTAGATGATTAAATAAATGTCAAAAATACAAATTTTCAGCATACAGAATTGTTTAACTACATAGACTGGTTTTGCTCAAGTGATAAATAATTATTTCCGCTAGCGTGTAGACGTTCAGGGATGCATACAAAAATAAAATCACCCAACATGCAATAAGCTTTCTGAATTGTTGGTCTCCATATGGATATAGTACAGAGCTTAAAAACAGAAGTACCAAGTATTGTAATCAGGGTTGAATTTTTTGTATAAACAAACACTATACTGATGATGTCCATCTGTTGTTATTACCATAAGCACCGGGAGACCCTTGAAAACAACTAATATGAATATGTTGAAAATATACTAACATGTCATATTACATACCTATATTTTCTGTCAACTTAGTCCTGTGAACTATCTGGTTTGGAGAAGCTTTGTACTGGACATGGTAAACATTTGGTTTGACCACCTCTTGCCTCGGGGGTGGGACAACTACCTGACGGGGTGCGGGAGCAGGGACAACAACACGTTTGGCGGCGGGACGCTCGGCGTAGAAGGTACGTACTGGTGGCAACAGATACTTCTTAGAAAATGGTTGTTTTATGGCAAGATAATGCGATTTTGTGTAGAATACTAACTGACGATTTGGATAGGGAAGGTGGGTAGGAAGGAACATATTCCTTACGGTTCAAATTAGGTGCTGATTTGGATCTCTGAAAGAAATAAAAAGAACGTGAAAGACATTAAAAGATAATTCATTATGCAGGAGCACATAGAAAGCAGGCCATTTCACGGGTAATTATCAAAAGCAACAAGCGTTCTATAATCAACAGCATAAAACGTTTCAAAATAAATGCTTTTTATGTCAAATTAATCAGATAATTTTTTGCAGTTACGTGGTCGTAATGTTTGAATTTTTAAGAATTTTAATATACAATGGTGTCATTTTGTGATTATATTGTATCTCTAATGCGACAAAAAAACCCCAGAAAAACAGAAAAAAAAGAACAAGAAACGTTTTATACACTGGCTATATATAAAATTGCATTTATTAGATTCAACATGATAAAGATGGTACACTTTTATAACAAAATAACTAATTTAATTTTGAAATTTAATAGACCATAATAAGAGTCATGTAATTGTTAAACTTTTTTGGGGAAAAAAAAATATGTAAAGGTCAGGTTTGAGAAGAGAATTTATGCAGTGAAGTAAATTAGAAAATACAAAAAGTCAGATGTAAAAAGTAGAAACTTGTATGCTTGAAATATTAAAGCAGCGTATGACATATCATTAATAGAAAATGTCAATTTCCATGAAACAAAAATTGATTGTTTTTGAAACTCAATCTTGATTATTGGAAACGAATCATTAATCATGTGTTACTCAACAAATTAATTTGATATCCGCTTAATTGAGTATGGTATGTTTTTATGGCTTTGACAAATGTCTTGATACCTGTTAAATGCAAAAAGGGTTATTGCACAATAAATCTCAAATTTCTCGAAAGTGGGGGAAGGGGGGAATCATTAAGATAGTTAACCTCCTTGAAGATTTAATCCCAACTCTACTTTGAACACAATCTTGTAGTTTAGATTTAACCTGAGCCAAAACCTCCAATGTTATAAAAAATAACACATAGGTTTGTGAGTAACAGTACTTTCAGAAAAATACTGTTACCTGAGGCGTTGGCCGAATGTTACGGATACTATTTTTGATGCTACTCACAAACCTATGTGTTATTTATTTCATTACCCCAAACAAATACTTCATTTGAACACTATTTCTATAGGTTTATATATTTCAGATTTTTCTGTGAAAAAATACTGTTACCTATGTAATAGTACACAACTTTTAGCCACATGGTACACTTGAATTAACAATTATAATTGGTAATACCAATTAATATAATGATATTCGTAGACATAGCTATTCTACAAATAAACAAAAAAAATATTTTCCCTTTCCCCGGGATATTTGTTAAAGTGTATTGATACAGAACTATAATAAATTATTTCGAAAAAGTAAGAATAATTACCGTATGTAGAATTTATAATTAAATTCAGTCGGGTGGTTTTGAATAAGAAATAGAACAATGAATCATTTACATTGTGTGAAAGTTATCAATTATTTATTTCATACATTTGAAAATTGAATCATTCAAAAATATAGTTGAAAAATAAAATGATGATTTATCACAAGCCATCAGGTCCTCCTTTGTATTCGTGAAGCATATTTAAAAAGATGTATTACAAGAAGGAAAAAAATATGAATTTGGTCATTTTTTCTGAAGAAGACAAAACGTCGAACGTTAAAAAAAACCGCTTTGTTTTTTATTAAAACTGTATATCTAATTATAAATTATATATATTGAAAAAAGTACGGATTCCCCTAAAAACGACAAAAAACAAATGTAAAATTTGAAAATGTTGTAGACAGGTCTGATTGACCCTGTCCTGTATGTGCATTGGTAACTGCATGGCTACTGTCCCGCCCCCCTAGCACCGGCTAAGGCAGAATTATAAACGTTTTTTAAAAACATAAAAAACACTTTTGCAGTATTTCAGACATTTTCAGTCGACATGCCTTACTTTTACATAACCTGCTAAATCTGTGTAAATGAGGTACCTATATTGAATCTGGCAATTTTAATTCAACAGTTTAAGGATATATGGAACTCAAATTACAGTTAAACCTCTAGCAGTCTGACGAGGCTAGTAGCTAAGTTATAGAAAGAGCATCGAAAACACAGGATATCTGATTTGTACGAAGGGGGCGTAGCCCCTGAGTATAAATCAAATTGCCGAGTGTTTAGAACTATGATACAAGACAAATATTTAACCTATGCCCTGTCTTCAACTAGGACATTTGTATCAGGTCAGCGTAAAATTTGCCCAATTTGGAGTTTTAACTAGATACAAAACATTGATTTTTAAAGCACATTATTAATAATGCAACAATATTCTTTCTTTTTAAATGTTACCGTGATAAACAAGTGTGTTGTTTTTCCCGCTCGATTTTGATAAAAATCTTTTGGCTTTGACCTTCCACGCTCGTAAAATTTGGCGCCTTGGCGAAGTTTCGTAGTCGGTGAGATCGACCTAGCAAGTTTCGGCTTGACTTGAACAAAATACCTGGACTCACGAAGAAGGTGGCTGGGTCGTCAGCCACTGGCAGGACTTGTCGAAGATTGGATGTGAGCGCCATTCTAAAAAGATAACGTGAGCATTTTAACTAAAGGAATATGACGGTGCTGTAAATGGCGTCCGGATATTTACATCTCTAGAAATGTAAGACTTTTCCGTATCAAAACATACTTTTTATAGCTTTTCATATTTAGTTTAAAATATTAACAAAAAATAAAAAAGACCATATAATTTTTATATGCGTTCACAAGCATATTGTTATTAGGCACTTACCTGCAAAACGTTGTGGCCTATCACGTTGACTGTTAAGAACAACGCATGCCGTCCATTTTGTTGTGCACTATATTCACTGTAATGTTCTTCCAAACACTTTCTTTAATCTCTGTTAAGTTTTTCTTTCCTTCTATTTCTGCTGCGTTTTTCTGACGTCTGCATGTGATTAACTTCGCATGAATAAAATGACATGAAATTCAGAACTGTAATTGACCAATATGTAATTTGAAACATTGAAATCAATGTCCATTGTTAATTGGTAATCTGAATTGAAATGATTCATTTTGATGACCAGATCGATATGATAAAAGATCGATTAATAATGTGACATTGGTTTGGTTTCTCCTTATATGCTTTTACTACAACAACAAACAACCATTTTAAAAATTGTTTAAAGGCAACAATTTCAACTGTCAGGATAGGAATTTGATTCCTGGGTGTTCATGAGAATATAATATGTGTTTTTACGTTTTTTAACAGATTTACAACAATTATATGTGAAATATCCTACCGTTTTTCTACATATCATATATCACATTTTTCTTAAAGAATTAAAGGATTAATAATTCTTTAAGAAAAATGTGTGGCAGGCCGTAGATTCTAAGACTTTCTTTGGATTTTCTGCTATTAGAATACAACTTATAAATTAACTTCAAATGTATCATTAAAGCGTTGCAAACGCTAGTGACATTTAAACACTTGAATTTTGCACAAGCGTGAACATACTGGCGACATCAAAAACAAAATGTTGTCATCTTAATCGCCTTTTGTAAATTTATCTAGATACAAGAAAAATAAGGCTGTTTGGCCAAATTAATACATAAGCCGGTTGTAACCAATGCGAAAGTAATAACCTTTGACACCAATTATATGTTCCATCCTGCACTTCAATGAAGTAATTACATGTATTAATTGGTATCATTTTATTTTTGCATTTTGGTAACCGTTGGAAATTCAATTCAACGGACTTCTGGGCAATTCATTATAATCATAAAACAAAATGTAAGCAGAATTTGGGTTTTATTTATAATAGATGGATGGATATAGCTTAATATCAAATTCTTTGAAAAGAAAATATCGGGAAATTGGAAATAATAATTAAAAAATTAACCGCCCTCCCCCCCACCCCGCCAAAAATAAGACACGTTTTAAATAATGTTGTTTTTTTTCTTCTTTCTTTGGATTAAAATTTGCCTGCCTGGAAAAAGTAGAACAACTTCAACATTTGTTAATTGATCAAGTTGGTGATATACAAGGTTTATCTATAATCAGTTAACCTAGTGCCCGCTACAACGACATTGGAACATATTATTTATTTCTCGCGTCATTCGCGGTTATTGTCAACCGTGGTCTTTCTAAGTGATAATAGATTTAGTTTATTGTTAAGCCTTTATTCACCTATTTTAGTAAAGTTTAAATTATACTAAGTATTAGTAAGTTTACTTATAACTTAAGTATTTAGGTAGTTGGAATTGGGCTTTGACGCAAAAACACACTTGATATACTGGTTTCATATAAATATGGGAATTTATTCATTTATAAGATAAAATCTGTAACGATAATGTTCTTATAAATAGTCGAATATCTATAGTTTGAAGCACTATATACAGAAAAGTCATTATCAGCATAAAACAGTAGTTAAAAAAACAACAACAACAAAAAAACAAAACACAAAAACACTTCGACAGATTTATAAAGATATCAAGATTATGTTATAGTATTCTACTTGTGATCAAGACGTTTAGAACCAGGGAAAACATTTACCTTATATAATATCATTATGTTTATTTTCATTCAAAACGGAATCCCTTGTTGTCTACTCGCTACATATTAGTTTTTAATGACATAAGTGCTCCTTTTTTAACTACAAAGTCGTACTGTTTTATTCTTAACTATTCTAACATAGAGCATTTGTTTCTTAGTTTTATCATGTAAATAGTCATTATTATATAATGCTATATACATGTATATTTATGTGCTTTATACATTTGTAGTCTCCTGAATTCTGTATAGAATGGCTATATACAAGTTCTTATGATATGTTTAATGTTGTATTATATTGTACAATGTATATAGATATGACTTAAATAAATAAATAAATAAATACGTTTGTTTTTGTTTATATACATTTGTTGTATTTATTTTTTTGGATCCAGTGCATACAGAAATTTCAGGGGAAACAACTGGGTGTAAAGTACCATTTTAAGGAACCTCTTTTTTAAGTCGCAGCAAAAAGGGACTTGTAAGATAATTTAGTTAGGATAATGGAAGAAGGAATTCGTGACCCCTAGA